CATTCTTTTTCTCATAAAAGAAAAAACTCCCAACTTTCCTGTTTTACTGCCATTTCCCTAATGAATCCTTGATCTAAAGTTATGGATTCCCATTTTCCCTGAACTGAGAGAATCCCTGGTAGAGAATCATTAATTTGAAGGGCCAGATGTGGTCTCCCTAGGGATTATCTCCACCCATTAATCAGGGGTTACAAACTCGAATGCCCTGGTAGAGGTTGCGAGAGGACCAAGGAGGACTGGCTAGTGGATGTCCTTCCTCAAGGTGCTACTCAGCTCTATTTGGAAAGTGCATCAATGAAATACAGGCTCAGTGTTGCTGGAGCTTCTGACTTCCCAAGAGAAAGTGGAAATGTGCATTTTTTTTTTAAAGGATGACCGATAAGGGTATCNACTTCCCAAGAGAAAGTGGAAATGTGCATTTTTTTTTTAAAGGATGACCGATAAGGGTATCTCAACCCTTGACTTGGTGTTGTCAGCACCACACTCCCCAAGTGAGCTAACCGACCATCCCTATATAGGGATCCGAACCCTTGGCCTTGGTGTTATCAGCACCACACTCTCCCAAGTGAGCCACAGGCTGGCCCAGAAATCTGCATTTTTATGTATGACCCCACATTTTAAAGTATTGGTAAATATTTTAAACATTTAAGAGTGCTATCTGGGCCAAACAATGCACTTTTGAGATTTGGCTTCTGAGATCCGTGGGCTGCCACTTTTGATCTTTGGCATAAATATTTGTTGAGTGGACAAGGGTAATCACCAACACTGCTGTTTGCCACGTTTCCTTTTAACCATCCGAGTTCACTTGACCTGGCTCTCATAGTAGGGAGACTTAGGACAATTGTTTTTCAAGAATTTACAAGTGAAACTCCAGAAGTGGTGATTCTACAGTTGGACGTGTTAAACGGATGAATTTAACACGTTGTTATCATCCAGCAATATGCTTCATACAGAATAGCCTCTGGATGGTTCTGGGCACCCTTGAAATCAGAAGGAAGAAGACCTGCTGTTTGCTTTGTCTGGAGTTCTACATTTGAAATGGAGAATTGTTTAGCTGGACTTAAGATCATTGTTGAGAGTCTCCTAAGTATTTTTCCGCAGTCACTGAACAAAGTATGGAAGATAGATAGCCTAGAGCAGTGTAGTCCTTCAAACATTCCCAAATAAACTTGCCTCTGGTTTGTCTCTCATGTCTGTCCCATTTCTGCAATCACCGTATAATTTATTGTTTACTCTGGAAACAACTTTTATTGTGACGGTGGCACCACTAATCATTACACAGGCATAGCAAGTTATAAACCTGGACCATTCATGGCAAACCAGGGCATTAGTTCTCCATGGGTAAATGGTAAAGTTTTTGTTCATGCTGAGCCACCAAATTGGAGAATTGTGGTTTCTACATATGCATGATAATATTTTGCAGAATATCTACTCATATATCTTTTTTTTTGTGGGTGGATCTGCATGTGATGTCAGAGCTGGGAGTGCTATACTAATAGCTTGTGTCTGTTGTGCTGAGTTGCTATGGCAATGTGCCCTCTGGCTCTATACCTCCCTGGCGGGTCAGAGTCAAGTTAAGGATGTGTGTGAGAAGCACTCAGCCAGAATGGCCTAATGCATGGCTATGTCTCCCAGGTACAAAGATAGGAGGATGTGGGGGTCAAATACATGCCAACACAAATGTGTCCCCATTTATTCAAGCCTGTGTAATCTTGTGCAGGAGGAAATGTCAGTCTTAGTACATTTCAGCCAAACTTGGATATTTGAACAAAGAAAAGGGCCTAAATATACATACTCTTTAAAATCCCACTGGGAGGGCTGGCCCTGGCTCACGTGGGAGAGTGTGGTGCTGATAACACCAAGGTCACGGGTTCGGATCCTATATAGGGATGGCTGGTTAGCTCACTTGGGAGAGAGTGGCGCTGACAACACCAAGTCAAGGGTTAAGATCCCTTACCGGTTATCTTTTTAAAAAAATAAAAAATAAAATAAAATCCCACTGGGGTAATTTGGCTTGGACTTAAAACTGGTTGAGGAACCAAGAATATCTGATTCTCTCCGTGGGATTTAGGATAGTTCACTAATACTCTGCAAATATTTTTATCTTTATCCACTTTCAGAAAGAGGCTGTATAGCATTACCTAAGTTTCTTATTAAAAAGTTGTTTTATTTGATAAATATTTTACCACAATAAAAAAAAGTAGGAGTTGTTAGTATTTAAATGTATTGGAGATTAAAGGTGCTAATGATCATTTGCATGCAACTTTAACAGCACGGTTATATTTCATAATTACAGAATGAACAGTTATTTAAA